CTCTTATTCTTCTAGTTTTTTTCCTCGAACATCAGTTCTTTGGAATTCGCTTCCTTCATCTTGCTTTCCTGATTCATATAATTTGCAATCTTTTAAGTCATCAGTCAATCGTTATCTTGCTCTACAGATTTAGTCTTTTCTCTTCCAGTAACTTCCAACTCTTATAGTGGTTGCTTGCAGCCTTGTTGGAAGTGAAGATGTTAAAAAAAAAAAAAAAAAAAAAAAAATTTAACCAAACAGTACTACTGTGTTTGTAGAAATAATTGAAACCTGTTATTAGTTAATGGTAAGTAGAGTTGAGATTTTTGGAAATAAAGGTTGTATGAGCTCATTTAGTAGCCATAGTGGTCACAGTATTGAAGAATAAAAAGACAGAAGAATAAGCTGATGTGTTTTATTTCAAATTCATCTAATTTATCCAAGTCTATTGACCCAATCTTTGTATTTAATCCAATGATTAGGGATGGCAATCCCGGGATCCCGAAATCCCGGGATTTTGTACAAATTGTTCATCCCAAAATCCCGGGATTAGTTTCCGAAATTTCCCGGGATTTCGGGATTGTCAAAAAAAAGTAAAAGTTAATATAGTTTAAGCTTATAACTGTAATTAAGTAATTTGTACATTGTCTTTGGTATAGTAGTTTGTTTGGTTGAGTAACTGTTTCTTCTCTTTGAGATGTTTTCCTTTTAAAACTCTTTTTTTCTGTATTTTATTAAAAATAAAAACTTAAAACATTATTGCTTGTCTACAAAATATGTACGATCAAACATAAAATATAATATTATACTTTCTCTCTCTCTCTCTCTCTCTTTCTCTCTCTCTCTCTCTCTATATATATATATATATGTATATATATATATATATATATATATATATATATATATATATATATATATATATATATATATATATATATATATATATACAATGAGCAAAAAAATTATCTGTCCACACATCAAATCAAAAGAAAAAATTCATTAAAAAAATATTCAAAATAAAACGAAAAAACAAAAAATTAAATAATCTAAAATAAATAAAATATATATATATATAATAAAAAAATAACAAAAAATTGATATTATATTAATTATGCAAAATTTCATTGAAACATACAAAGATCAATGCAAATAAATTATCCGTCCAGAACAGAAAAATTTATTTAAAAAATTAATTTTATTTAAATTAGTATTTTGTCAGCCCTCTCTTCGCTTTAATGACAGCTATGCAAGGCCTATGCATAGAATTAACAAATTTTTCCGTTACATCACGGCCAACTCCCTAGCATGCCTCTCGTATTATACTTTTCAATTCAATTTTTGTTCGATGGGTTCCTATTTTGAATTTTTCTTTCTAAAATAGCCCATGAATGTTCAATTTGGTTTAAATCCGGAGATTGAGCAACCCATTCTAACTTATTTATGCTACTTTCGGCCAAAAAAACGGTAATGGAACATGCTGTATGCTTGGTATCGTTGTCTTGTTGGAACAAGACTTCACCTCCCAAGCCAAATTTATCTCCCGATGGCCCTATACTATCACTGAGAATGGTCTTATATACATACTGGTCCATTCTTTCATCGATAAATTCTAAAGTTCCCATCCCCGCAGTATTCATGCACCCCACATCATCACGTTGCCAATACCATGTTTGACAGTTTGTTTCAAACACATTATTTTAAGTTCTTTCGGCATTATCCGCACTTTCCCTACTCTATCGCACCTGAACATGTTAAATTTACTTTCGTTCGACTATAGGGCGTTATTCCAAAAATCTTGTGGGCGATCCACGTACTTTTTAGCCCATTTTATACGCAACTTTCTATTTTTGTTGCTGATGAAGGGCTTAGCTTGTGGTGTTTGTCCATGTACATTTGATTCATGGAGGCGATTTCGGACAGTTTGTGGAGTAATTTCGACTTCTATTTCTTCTTTCAGGTCATTTGAGACGTTCACCGCCTATAATTTTCTTTTCTTTTTTTTTTGACGCGTCTTACCATTTCAAGGTCAGTTCTTTCGTCCTTTTTTCTCTTTATTCCTTTTCCTTCTATATTACTTATTCTTCTGGTGCTTTTGAACTTATTAATAATGTATTGCACTGATGTTCTTGGCATTTTCAACATTCCTACAATTCCTCATTAACTTTTCCCAACTTGATGAAGCGTTAGAGGTCGTCCGAATATTCGCTGGTTTTTCTGTTTGGCGTAGAAATAATAAGTATATCCATTTTTCTAAATTTGTAATAAAAATAATATAATAATGATAATAATACATACAATATTCAATGTTTAAAACATTTTAATTAACTAAACTTACCTTAATTTAATTTTGAATTAAGTGGACGGATAATTTTTTTGCTTATTTTTTGTTTAATTTTTATGTTTTCTGATTTATTTATTTTTTATTATATTTTGCGAAAATAGTGTTGTAAAATTTTAACGCTTGCTGGTGGAAAGAGCAAGTGTTTTTAATAAAAGTTTTTAATAGAAAGTATACCTTCTATTAAAGTTTTTTTTTATTAAACTAACTTTAATAGAAAAAACTCTAATAGAAGGTATACCTCAGGCCTGTAGCAACCGGGTGGGCAGCAGGGCAACCGGGTGGGCAGCAATTTTAAATATGTGTGTGATTTACGAAAGTTTTTTTTAAGTCAGCTTAATTAATAAAGTTAACAAAAAACAGGTTTATTAAATTACAAAATTTTCTTAGCATCTGTTTAAGTAATAAAGTCATGCATATTTATATATTTTTCTAATTATTATTTTTACTTATACTGTGTTACGATTTCAAGGTATTGTTTTATAATTTAAAGTACTTAGGTTCATTAATTTTTAAAAGTCCTAGATAAGTTTTAACATAACAAAATTAAGTTAAAACATGTTTGTAACTTAATTTTAGGTTCATTAATGTATTGAATATTTTAGTTATAATATCACTAAACTAATCATTTTTAAATGTTAGGTGAGTTCTTAAAAAGTATTTGTAGCTTTTTTTTTTATTCAATCCTGGGATTTCCCGGGGACAAATTTCTCAATCCCAAAATCCCAGGATTGAAAATTTCCTGGTTTTTTGCCATCCCTACCAATGATGCATGATTTATAAATTCCATTAACATAAAGCTCTGGCAAAGGAATGACTTCAAGCACGAATTATGGCTTGTTTTCTTTATTTTATAAAGTTCGCCAGATTCTGTCAAAATTTAGTAATTTTGTTAACAACTAAAAGATATTAGTTATTAAAAATATTTTAAAATTAAATAACTAACATTTATACCTTAAAATCTTTTATTTTAAAATTTTGATAACTGGAAATTTTGTAATAATCTAATAAAAATGTTTTCATAGAAATACTGGTAAGTTCACATTTTCGTTGACACTAAGCATACTTTCTTCTAAAATTATTTATATTTTGTTTAAAACTCCATTTTGAATGTTATATACCCTAAAAATTCCAAGCAAAATTTTAATTATTTTTTTGTTGCAAGAGTATATTTACAATCTTGTATCTAGGATATGAGAGTGTATTTACAATCTTGTATCTAGGATACAAGAGTGTATTTGCAATCTTGTAAAATCTTGTATTTGCAATCTAGGAAAATTACTAAAATAATTAAATTTTTGTGTGTCTTTTAAAGTTTTCATAAGGTTCATTTACAGATTGAACAATAGCCAAAATTATGAGTTTCTTTACACCAGAATCTTGAAAAAATTGAGAACTAACCCCATTAAAATAGAAAATTTTTTGTTTTTCTTGGTTATTTTAGCAATTAGTTATGTTCATGCAGATTTTGAGAAAGCCTCCACCTCCATCAATTTCTATTTTGATCATATACTCATTTAGGGAAAGTTCACGTTTCTCAAGTATATGATCAATTAATCCAGAAATGTTATGGCAATACACTATTCCATGCTGAGCTTAACTTGTTTGGTTTTCAACAATCAGTACATCAAAAAGCTATATTTATAAAAATTTTTATACAACAATCAGTACATCAAAAAGCTATATTTATAAAAATTTTTATACAACAATCAGTACATCAAAAAGCTATATAATTTATTGAGCTATAAAAGGATGTCAAACGTTTATCATTCTCACTAAGTTTCTCTGTAAGACAAGATTCTATTTAGTAAAATTGTCATAACTTTTTTGGACGTTTTAGAATAATTTTGAAATTTTGTAAAAAAACGCCTCCACATATACCTAAACTTTGGTGCTAACATTTTCTCTTGAACTTTTTTTCAACCCTAAAGACATTTAAAAGCCTAGGTAAGTGGGATACTTTGGAAATGCATTAGGAAAAAAATTACCTATATACCTATATATATATATATATATATATATATATATATATATATATATATATATATATATATATATATATATATATATATATATATATATACATATATATATATATATATATATATATATATATATATATATATATATATATATATATATATATATATATATATATATATATATATATATATATATATATATATATAGTAAAATACAGGTAAGATAACACAGTAAATAAGACACTTCCAACTATTAAACAGAAGAAAGTAGATACCACAATATTACATAATATTGATAACAGGAAGTACACTTTTTCTAGTTTTAGCTTATAAAGCAAATTCTGCAAAAGTAGCAGGACATGGAACAGGTTGCACTGGATTACATGTTACCAGTAGCAGGGTGATTATGTAACCATACACCTTTTAGTTTGACAATTTTAATTTTTAATGTTGTTTAACAACATTATATATTTTCCTATTATATTTTATCAAATCAATGTGGTATAACTTTTCTAAATATGAAATTTTTTTATCATAGTTTAAATATAAGAATAACATTTTAAATATTGTCATAATGTTTACAATTTTATTACATTGTTTATTAAGAAATACAAAATTTTTGATTTTTTTTAATTGAAAAATGTATTTAACTTAATAAAGAATTTTTTTTTTTTCAATTTCTATTTTTTTTTTTTTATTAGAACAAGTATTTAGAAAGTTTTAAACAGAGCAGAAGGTATAACAGTTTAATAATATATATATATATATATATGTATATATATATATATATATATATATATATATATATATATATATATATATATTTGCATTCATTTTTTAAAAAAATCATTTTAATAGGGTCTATTAGGGTAGTTTAGGTATAAAAAGTACCCATTTGCAACTTTTAAATTATACTATTAAATTTTTTTTAGAAAAAAACGGAATCTATTTTTGTCTGTCTTAGCATTGTGACCTTCTCAAATAGTTTTGTATAAGATTAGCAGTTTATTAGTAAAAAAATTCAACGGATAATTTTATAACGATAAAATACTCATATTACCCCATAGATGGAGTAATTAGGGTATAATAAATGTTTTTTTTAAGTAAAACATGCTTTTAACAGCTGTTATCCCCAATTTACCCAACTTTGGTTTGTAAGTTTTAAAATAATTTCTACTAAACCTACAATCAACCTAATGTAATGAAAAAGTTATATTGAAATTTTGTTTTATAATATTGTTAAACATTAAAAATACTTAAAAAGCATTCCATTAAAATTAGGAACAGGAACTTTTCTAAAATCTTTTCATCGTCAAATCTTTCTCTTGTTTAATGTTAAAATCTAAAGTTGTAAGTAGTGTTTTTACTTTTTTAGTATTTACTAACTTAAATTTTAGTTAAAAGTGTGATAGTGTGGTTATAATTGCATCCCTTAGCTTTCTCATTGGTGATATCCTAGTTGATGTTCCTAATGAATTTAAAGAATTTGAATTGCTATAGGGTTTCATGATGTTTCCAATATTATTTGATTGATAAGTTTCCTGAGCTTGAGAAATTCCATATTCAGGATCTGTTTGGGTTAAAAAGTTGGATGAGATTGAAACAATTTTGCTTTCCAGAATGGTTGGGTTCACTGGGTAAATGATTCTTTAAAACAGCTTATTATGTGATTAGATTTGAATGAGACTTATACAAGTTTTTTTAAAAAGACTTGGAAAAATAGCTTTATCTACATTTTTAAGACGTGATTCACGGTACCATGTCTTCAATATATTTTTCCAGTCATTTTGCATAGGAGCAAATACACCCACATTTAATGGTTGAAGAGCATGCGGCGTATGAGGGATAAACATAAAATTATAATACCATTATCCCTTGCTGTATGAGTTACATTATAAGTCAAGTGACTTCCATGTCCATGAAATTATACTAAAACTAGCTTTTGAGATATTTTATTTTCTTGACAAATGCATTTAACCACTTTTCAAAAATATAATACTGCATCCAACCAGATTCTGTAACTCCATACAACATACCTGGCAGGCCTTCTTTTACCCAAGTAGATTGTAATTCTCCTATAAATAACACATGGCAGGTAGCGTTCACCGACAGCACTTGCTAGAAAAAGAACACTGCACTGGAGTCTCCCAGCACTTCCTGAAGGTGAATATGTTATCCTGACACTTTTAGGAACAAATATTTTACCCTTAGTAGGGTCAGTACCTAGGCCAGTTTCGTCTAAATTAAATATATTTTCCGAGTGGTCATTTAAATTGTTTTCATCCAGAACATTTTGATAAATTTTAAAAAATTTATTTACCACATATCTAGATAGCTCTTTGGCCCTTGCTTTAATCAGTAATTCAGGCTTTTACCTTGCAAGTTCTTCTTTCCATCTTCTTTCAAAATTTATAATGAAGTTATAACCAGGTGTGTCATTTTTAAATGGTGTCTTCCTACCCGCTGACTTTACATAACTGTGCACTATATATTGTAAATCTTTTCTTCCTAGTGGATATCCACAATTTGCTGTAAAATTTAAGGCAGCTACTATATATTCCCCTTCTTCTCCCTGTTAATATCTCTGTTCCTTTGCTAGCACCTTGATGGGTTGGAGGTTTCACAAACGATCGTCTAAAAGTTTCATACAGAATATTGTATTTTTTTGCAGCTGCATGCATCAATTTTCCATTCTTAACATCTTCTTTAGCCCTTTGTAGATCATTGCTATCATATTTAACAGGGTTTTTTTTACATATGTGCGTGGCATGATCTAAAACAAAAAGTTAATTATATTCATATTACCTCTAACTTTTAAATAATTAATAACAAAACAAATAATATATTTCAGTAGCACAAATTAATAAAAAAAATTAACATATTAATATGTAATGTATACATACCTAAATTAGATAAAAGTATCTCATTGGAATAATAAATGACAATGCTTTGATACTTTTGTTTTTATTTGACTGGCGTTTGTACATGACATAAAATTTTTAGAAGAGTTGTGGTCAGTGTTGCCAATACAATCTTAGTGTTTGTTTTTATAGTTATAGTTTTAGTGTTATAGTTTTTTATGTCTTTTATAATTATATGTATAACACATTTATGATTTATGTTTTTATACAGAAAATATAATTGATACCCAAATTACCTCACTAAACCCAAGTTACCCTGACAGACCCTATTACTGTGAAAAATGAAATAGTCAATTAGGAAGGTTTCATGTAATTTCTGGCAACTTTCTGATGAAAGGCTCTGAAGAAGAAAAAAAAATCATTAACTTATTATTAATTGAAATTTATCAGCTTACCCCTGCTACCAACTAGTATCTATATATATATATATATATATATATATATATATATATATATATATATATATATATATATATATATATATATATATATATATATATATATATATACTCATGCATGTACACATATTAAATAATTTTTCTAGCAATTGTATTTGCGAAGATATTAAGAGGAGTTCTCATTCTTCAGATAGAACTTATTTAGAAAAAACAGATGAGGTGAACAAGTTAAAAGAATTAATCTTACAAAGAGATAATGAAATCAGTATCTTTTAATAATTTTATAGTGTATTAGATTTCCAGGTTTTTCATAGAAGTGTTTTTTGTGTGATATTTTGTTGTAGTTAAAATCCTTTAGCATAATAGATATTTTAGTAGCTATGCTTAAGAAGGAAAAATTACGATCTGAGTTATATGAAGAGAAACCTCTTAAAGAGTCTTTAAAAACTATAGCAACCAATCAAGTTCAATTTTCAAGTTCATTTTATGAAGAGGTTTTTTTTATATTTAGTTTTATGTTAAGATATTTTCAATCAAAATGCATTTGGGTAATAGATATTGTATAAAGAAACTTTAATTAGACAATAAAATTATAGGCAAACTCTAATTATTTCAAGGGTACAAAGGAGAAAAATATTATAGCAGTAAATCATGTAAAAAAATGTGAGTATCAAAACTGATTATTTAAAAATTATTATTTTGAAGTTATTGTAAATAACATTTATTAATAATAATTTTCAAATACTTTTCAGTATCAATAGACAAGCAAGAAGAATTTGAAAGGTTCCAAAAAACCTATTTTGATAATCCTGCTATTGAAGAAAAAAAGAAAGGTTTGAAAATAAGGTACATTTTAAAATACATCTGGGTTTTGCCTATATACTGTGTACGAATTTTGTTTATGTCTGTATTATTTAATGCCTATAATCTTTTTATTTTGTTTACTATTAACTATATAATATTACTAATAAATATTATGTGACAAATAACTCTGACTAATATAAATAGTTTGTATTAATATTAACTAGGAATGAAATTAATATTAACTAGGAATAAAATTAATATTAACTAGGAATGAAATTAATATTAACTAGGAATGAAAATAATATTAACTAGGAATGAAATTAATATTAACTAGGAATGGGTTTAGAACTAGGAATGGGTTTGGAACTAGGAATGAGTTTAGAAAATAATTTTTAAAAGTTTGCTTTTAATCTTAGGTACAGATAACTCCTAAAAGATAATTCTTTTAAGCACATTAGAAACCATTAGATAAGATTATTTTAAAAAAAAATTATCCTTAATATATATTATTTATATACTAGGTAAACATAATTTCAATCTTTAAAAGTTAATAGGATATAGTTAATTGTTACTATCACTTTATAAATATTAGAGGCAAATTCTTTTTAGATATTCAGATGCAAAGAAGTTAGGAGAACAAGTGAATAAGTCAAGAATAAATATAAGTGATGATCTTGTTGATTTCATATAAGTGATGATCTTGTTGATTTCACATAAGTGATGATCTTGTTGATTAATATAAGTGATAATCTTAATGATAAATATAAGTGATGATCTTGTTGATAAATATAACAGTTTAAAAAATATATATAGCAAGCTGGCTGATTTTTTTTAATTTTTAGATTTGTTGAAGTCAAAAATCGAGAGAAAAAAAGATCCAATTCAAAATGGTTTTTTTAAATTTATATAAATTGCTTTATTATAACCTTAATTTCATATCCTAGAGGAAACTCATTAAATAAAAAAACATAAGTTATTGTTAACATATCTATAAAAGTATTATACTATGAATTGTTAACCAAAGTTACATCCTTTTACTGTGGCTAATCCTTGATGCTCAAAAAAACTTTTAATTCATCTAGATTTTTCCTTGAATATCAATGCTTTGTATCTCCCTCCTATATTCATAATTTTTTAAGTCATACAATTTATATTTTTACAAGTATTCTGTCAACCATTTACTTGGTCTTAAACTCTTTTCTTGATTTTCTAGTAACTCCCTACTTAAATAGTGGTAATCTTGTTTGGAGATTTTTTGAAGAAATTAAAAAAGTAGAACATAAAAGTTTTTTTTTTATATAAATGTAAGAAATATTTTATTGAACATTTTATTGAACATGTGTCTAATTATGTAATAGTAAAACAAACTGTTTTAAAAAAATGACTTTCTGTTGAGCTCTTTGTTTTTAAATTGTGTGAGCATCTGCTGCATTTTTAGATTTAAAATAATATTAAAACTTTATAATTTATGAAAAAAACTTTGTGGTTTACAGCTGACATGAATTTTTTTATTAATAATCATCACATCCATATCCACACCCTTGAACTCAAATGCATACCCAATTCTAATTCCTAGAGTTTTTTTACTCTTAGAATTATGAGTAAGAAAACTAAATTTAAATTCTGAGAATTTTCTTACTTATAGAATTTTCTTTTTAGAAATGTTTCCTCCCGAGTGTGATTAGTAATCTGCCCTTTTAATTTAATAAATATATTTTTGGTTTATTAAATCTGCCCTTCTAATTTAAAAAAACAATTTTTTTTTATTTAATATATAACATTTATCTAGGTCAAGAAATACATCAGAACAAAAGTTTCGAATCTGATGACCAAAATTTGCGAGAAGCATTGGAGAAAGAAAAGATTTTGTAAGAAGTATATATATATAACTATGAATGCACATTTAGATAATATCTCTGATGTCACACTGAAATTGCCAGCTATCAAGGGCTTCAGTACCGCATCGAGGACTTTAAACCCTCAGTTGATGTAAAGACACTCCTTTGCTGCATAGTACCTCTACATTGACTGAGGGTTTGGTTTGGGGCAGCCGAGGGTTTGACATGGGAAAAACTATTAACCATTATATATATATATATATATATATATATATATATATATATATATATATATATATATATATATATACATATATTAAGTTAAGCTAGTGTATTCTACAAATAGAGGGCAAAGATTGCAAATTATATGAATCAGAAAAACAAAAAGTAGGGAATGAATTCCAAAGAACTGGTGGTTGAGGAAAAAAACTGGACAAATGAGACTTTTTAGAGCACTTAGTAACAGTACAGTAAAAGAATCAGTCTAAATAGAATGACGAGTAACACAAGAATTAATTTTAGTAGATGGTACAAGAGAGGCTAGCTCTTTAAAGCAGTGCCCATTATAGTATTTATAGAAAAGAAAAAGAGAAGCAACATTACAATGATGTGATAATGGTTGGAGAATGGCTGCAAGAGCAGGTTCAACTATATTTACAATGCATTTTTGCACCTTGTCTAAAAGAGAAAGGACATTATTCAAAGAGCAATCAAAGAGTGTTGGCTATTTATCAAGACAAAAAGAAATGTTCATATCATCAGCGAACAATGCCACCTTAGATGTGAGAATTTCAGGTAGGTTGTTAATTTAAATAAAAAAAGTATAGGGCCAAGGATAGAACCTTGAGAAACCCATGAAGTTACAAATGAAGAAGAGGGCTGTCTATTAAAGACAACTTTTATACTATGATTGATTAGGAATGGTTCAATAATCTCAAAAATGTTACCTGACACGCCATAAAAAGAGAGTTTATGGAGAAGATCAGCATGCCAAACTTTATCAAAAGCTTTAGAAATGTTGAGATTGATAGCCTTAACCTCTCCACATCTATCTAATGTAAGATAAAACTTATCAGTTATTACTGTTGACAAATCAGCAGTAGAATAAAAAGATCGAAATCCATATTGATGATCAGAAGTTAAGTTATTAGATTCAAGATGAGATAATAAGTGTTTGTTAATCAAAGACTCATAAACCTTGTTAATGACAAGAAGAAGACTAATTGGGATGTTAGTGAGATTGCTCTCTAGCATTTTTGAAAATAGGGATAACAGATGCCAGCAAACTAAAAAACAAGACTCTGATATGCACTTGTTAAATAGTTTTGAAAGTATAGATGACAGTTCCGAAGAATGCATCTGCAAGGCTATAACAGGTATGTAGTCTGGACCACAGTAGAAGAGACGAAGCAGGAAATCACTTTAGATACAGAAGCTGGAGTAAAACGATTGTCAAGCAATGGATCAACCTGTTTGTCGGCTATATTAGGTAGAATGTGATAAGTGAAATCAAGAGATTGTTGAAAAGTTCTTAGCAAACAATTTAGCTTTGTCTTTAGGTGAGGTAACAAAATTTAAACCATGCAAGAGAGGTGGAATCACAGATTTGTTTATATTATAGACATTGTTAAAGATTCTCCAGAAGTCTCTGGAGCCTAATTTTTGAGATGAAATACAAAGTTTTGTTACCTGAGAATAGCGGACTTTGGTGTTAGACAAAATCTTTTTACAATTGTTTCTAGCAATAATAAACAGACATCAGTTTTGTGGAGAATTGCTTTGTTGATAGATATGGAATGAAGTTATGATTAGAAATTGCAGCACAATGAGAGGAAAACCAAGGAGAAAAGTGGAGTGAAAAAGGAAAATTAGATTAGCACAGAAAAGTTTTAAACCATGGAGTGAGGCTTGACTTAAAATTGTTGAGAGGGAATAAAAGATTCCATGTTAACCTGAATCCAAGAAGTTACATAAGAAGCACCTTTTTTTTGCAGGAAAACAAAAGATTTTTATCCAATAGCCATCACAAAGAAAATCACGGAAAGAATCCAAGTCAGCCCTAAGGTTATTGTAAGTAGTACGATGATAGGGGGATTCTGATGATGAAGAAGAATGAGATAATAGTTTTAGAGAGAATATTAAGGGTGAATGTGGAGGAACTAAGCATTGACTAGGATCAGAATCAAGTCACAAGTCAAGTAGAGAAGGTAAATAATTCAAATTGTCGGAAAGTTGATTATTTGTCTTAGAAATTGAGAATGGCAAAAGTTGTGAGGCTCAATGTCTGCATAGTCACTGACACTAGAACCAAGCAGTTCTGTGTGTTGTGTGATTCAGTGTGATATGTGTGTGTGTGTGTGTGTGTGTGTGTGTGTGTGCGTGTATATATATATATATATATATATATATATATATATATATATATATATATATATATATATATATATATATATATATATATATATATATATATATATATAAATGCACCCTATATTTGAGATTTATGTATACCATTTGTGGTAAAAAAATACAGCTCCTAACAGCTGTTGTGTTTAAAATTGATAATCAAGTCTACACTATGCAAAAACCATTAAAATAATTGAGAAAATTAATTAAATTTTATTTAAATTGTTGTTTTAAAATGTTAGTTTTTTTACAATTAATTTTTAAAAAAATTTATATGCATACACACAAAATGTGTGTATGTGTATTTAAGGACACAATGTGTTCTTTAATTTTTCAAAAAATGAAGAAAAGCAAAGATTAGGAAAAAAAAATTCCTTCTTTGCGCAAACCCTCAGTTGATGTACCAGTACTCCTTGCATGTTCTACCTACTTAAGTCTATCAATGTATGTATGTACTAAATGTATGTACTAAAGCGTTTTTTTTTTTTTTTTTTTTTTTTTTTTTATGAAGACATCAAAATATTTTTATATACATCAAAAAAATCATATTTTTATATTGTTTTGATTGTAATAAACAACTAATGTGACATTAAATAATGCATAAAATGTCAAACTATATTTTAAGAAGAAAAAAAATGTAGTATATAAAAGTATGATAATTTTCTGCTATTTTGTAAATTAAGAATTATGTATTTACAAAGGTAATTTGATAACAAGTGGGTTTCTTAGTTTGATTTTTCTCATAAGAACATTTTATTTTTTAATGTTAACGATTTTAACATTCTAGATACAAGAGGTCATTTAATGGGTTAAAAGCTCTTAAAAATGAAATTGAACATATGCAACATTTGCTTGAAACCTCAAAAGTTAAACTGCATCAAGATTTTGAACTCTGGTGGACTCAACAAACTAGTGAATATCAAGTAAAGCTAGTTTTTAAAGTTATAATTTTAAAATTTAAATTTCAAATAGTATTGACTTCACTCTTATACTTTCATACAATTTTACTTTTTTTTTAATATATTATAAGTTTTTTTATTTCTTTTTTTTATAGTTTATGTTTTATTTTCTTTGCATTATCATGAATCATATATATTTATATAAAACAATTTTGCTCTTTTAGAATGAAATAAAAAATACAAATAATGAGTTGTCTTCTTTTATTGAAACTGCAAGCTCTCAAAAAAATAAATCCCATAGTTTGTCTTTAAACTCTGAGATGCAAATCGGCTTGAAAAAGAGTGATTTAAGTAATGAAAATGATGGTAAACAGATTAAAGCTGATAACACAAAAGTTTCCTCAACGATTCAACTAACTGGAGACATACAAACAGACAAAGACATTTTACAATTTATGCAAGCTCGTCAAGATTGTCTGCAAAGAGGTTTTTATTTTGTTTAATGAATTATTTAATTTATTGTTATGATTCAATTAACACCTATTAACACCAGTTAGTTGTTTTGAATTTAGCCAAATATTTAAGTTTAAAATATTGGGGGAAAAAATAGGTTCTAAAATTTAAATTTTTTATAATATAAATTAAAATCTATTATTTATATTGCTTATTTTAAATTATTTTCTTTTTTGAAGATCATTTAGAGATCCACAACATATTTGAAGAATTCCTATTATACCAAAATGTATTAAAAAATTGCATTGATTCATTTTACCAAAATGTATTGCATTGATTCAATATTTTTGTTTAACATTACTAGTTTGTATTACCTGCAAAATTCTAATGTTTTAATGCTTAAAATCTTTGCTGTACTTTTTAACATATATCTTTAACTTGCTTTATATCTAATCTAGTCTAATAATCTTTAATAATCTAAAATATAGTCTAAAAGATACCCATTAAATTAGGCAGTATTATGGTTAACTTAAATGAATCTCAATGAAAGAGCATGATCTGTGATCTCAGACAAAGAATATACTGGCAGATTATAAAAACAAAGGACATGGCGTGAAACCACAGAGTTGATTGGCATTGGACCTAGGCCTGTAAATCGAGCCGAATGAGCCAAGCTTGCCAGGGCTGGGCTTGGCTCGCTTACATATTAAGAGTGAGTGCTCGGCTCATTAAGGATTAGTATTGTTTTGGCTCGGCTTGTTTTACATGTTGCTCAAGCTCGACTGGTTTAAAACTCAAAATAATTATTGTAACCTGTTAGTTTAAAGCTTGTTTAGTAAAAAAAAAATTGTTCGTTAAAGGCTACTTTTTTGTTTTGCATAATTTGTACTTAAATCCATTAAAAATGGTTTAAAACCTATTGGGCCTGTTGGCAAATGACAATAGTCAATAGCAGCCTCACGTAATTAAATTGTTTATATTAATCAACTATTTAGTGTAATAAGAGTTATATGGGTCATATCTCATATGGTTACACTAACACTATACTTTTATTATATACTAATATATATAATATGACAATTTTATTTATTACATATATATTATTATAATATAAATAAATATATATATATATATATATATATATATATATATATATATATATATATATATATATATATATATATATATATATATACTCGAGCTTTAATCGAGCCTATATGAACGAGCCTATGATGTTCAAGCTCGGCTCATTTAATAAACAAGCCTAATTTTTTTGTTCAAGCCCGGCTCGTTTACCATTCGAGCTGAACATGAACGAGCTCTTGTCGAGCTGATCACCAAGCCGTTCACGAACACGAGCCAGGATTTACAGCCCTAATTGGACCATCTATCTGCATTTACAATGCAACATAACTGGCCATTATCCTCTTACTTGTTGTCAAGAGCAATGGATCATGATGTATTGTTGCAACATGGCTGCAAGTAATGAGAAATCCGGAGCTGTTAGTGCCGTATCATGCTTCACAACTGATAAACTAGTTAAAATTCATTTCAAAAGTGTCTCAGCATAGATATTGTGAGAAAATTGACATACTTACCATTACCAGGAATGTGATGAGGTTCTATTGGAAAAGATTATTTTGCCACACAAACCACTGTTTTGGTTAGACTTCAGTAACTAGAACAATTTTTTTTGTTTTACCTGATGTACTCAATAAACAAACACATTTATGTTTTAAATTAAATAATGATAATACATATATTTTATATAAATACATATATTTTACATAAATACATATAATTTACATAATTATATATAATTTACATAAATACATATAATTTATATGTATTTAAGTTTTAAATTAAGTAATAAAAACATCAATATTGACAACAACTATTATACTGGTAAATTTTACTAATCTCATATAATAAAATATATATTAAGAATTGACAATGTATAGTAGTATAGTTCTAAAAAAATATTTATAAATAAAGTTTTTCTGTGTAGTGTAAATCACAAGTAATCTTTTAATAAAAATAAATTTTTTTTGTGTAGTGTAAATCACAAGTAATCTTTTAATAAAAATAAATTTTTTTTGTGTAGTGTAAATCACAAGTAATCTTTTAATAAAAATAAAGTTTCTCTGTGTAGTGTAAATCACAAGTAATCTTTTAATAAAAATAAAGTTTTTCTGTGTAGTGTAAATCACAAGTAATCTTTTAATAAAAATAAAGTTTTTCTGTGTAGTGTAAATCACAAGTAATCTTTTAATAAAAATAAAGTTTTTCTGTGTAGTGTAAATCACAAGTAATCTTTTAATAAAAATAAAGTTTTTCTGTGTAGTGTAAATCACAAGTAATCTTTTAATAAAAATAAAGTTTTTCTGTGTAGTGTAAATCACAAGTAATCTTTTAATAAAAATAAAGTTTTTCTGTGTAGTGTAAATCACAAGTAATCTTTTAATAAAAATAAAGTTTTTCTGTGTAGTGTAAATCACAAGTAATCTTTTAATAAAAATAAAGTTTTTCTGTGTAGTGTAAATCACAAGTAATCTTTTAATAAAAATAAAGTTTTTCTGTGTAGTGTAAATCACAAGTAATCTTTTAATAAAAATAACGTTTTTCTGTGTAGTGTAAATCACAAGTAATCTTTTAATAAAAATAACGTTTTTCTGTGTAGTGTAAATCACAAGTAATCTTTTAATAAAAATAACGTTTTTCTGTGTAGTGTAAATCACAAGTAATCTTTTAATAAAAATAACGTTTTTCTGTGTAGTGTAAATCACAAGTAATCTTTTAATAAAAATAAAGTTTCTCTGTGTAGTGTAAATCACAAGTAATCTTTTAATAAAAATAAAGTTTTTCTGTGTAGTGTAAATCACAAGTAATCTTTTAATAAAAATAAAGTTTTTCTGTGTAGTGTAAATCACAAGTAATCTTTTAATAAAAATAAAGTTTTTCTGTGTAGTGTAAATCACAAGTAATCTTTTAATAAAAATAATGTTTTTCTGTGTAGTTTAAATCACAAGTAATCTTTTAATAAAAATAAAGTTTTTCTGTGTAGTGTAAATCACAAGTAATCTTTTAATAAAAATAAAGTTTTTCTGTGTAGTGTAAATCACAAGTAATCTTTTAATAAAAAAAAAGTTTTTCTGTGTAGTGTAAATCACAAGTAATCTTTTAATAAAAAAAAAGTTTTTCTGTGTAGTGTAAATCACAAGTAATCTTTTAATAAAAATAAAGTTTTTCTGTGTAGTGTAAATCACAAGTAATCTTTTAATAAAAATAAAGTTTTTCTGTGTAGTGTAAATCACAAGTAATCTTTTAATAAAAATAAAGTTTTTCTGTGTAGTGTAAATCACAAGTAATCTTTTAATAAAAATAAAGTTTTTCTGTGTAGTGTAAATCACAAGTAATCTTTTAATAAAAATAAAGTTTCTCTGTGTAGTGTAAATCACAAGTAATCTTTTAATAAAAATAAAGTTTCTCTGTGTAGTGTAAATCACAAGTAATCTTATAATAAAAATAAAGTTTTTCTGTGTAGTGTAAATCACAAGTAATCTTTTAATAAAAATAAAGTTTTTCTGTGTAGTGTAAATCACAAGTAATCTTTTAATAAAAATAATGTTTTTCTGTGTAGTTTAAATCACAAGTAATCTTTTAATAAAAATAAAGTTTTTCTGTGTAGTGTAAATCACAAGTAATCTTTTAATAAAAATAAAGTTTTTCTGTATAGTGTAAATCACAAGTAATCTTTTAATAAAAAAAAAGTTTTTCTGTGTAGTGTAAATCACAAGTAATCTTTTAATAAAAAAAAAGTTTTTCTGTGTAGTGTAAATCACAAGTAATCTTTTAATAAAAATAAAGTTTTTCTGTGTAGTGTAAATCACAAGTAATCTTTTAATAAAAATAAAGTTTTTCTGTGTAGTGTAAATCACAAGTAATCTTTTAATAAAAATAAAGTTTTTCTGTGTAGTGTAAATCACAAGTAATCTTTTAATAAAAATAAAGTTTTTCTGTGTAGTGTAAATCACAAGTAATCTTTTAATAAAAATAAAGTTTTTCTGTGTAGTGTAAATCACAAGTAATCTTATAATAAAAATAAAGTTTTTCTGTGTAGTGTAAATCACAAGTAATCTTTTAATAAAAAGTAGCTATAAAGTAAAAGTTATAATATACATAACTTTGTAAGAAACTTTTAATTCTGCAAATTGAAACAGTTTTAACTATTATATTCTTATCTTTTATTATTTTCTTCATATTGTTGCAAAGCTGATTTAAGTCTAAATTATTGAAATTGACCGTGAAAATATAATGTATCAAAAGTTCATATTTTAGTTCAATTTTCAAAGAAACTTTTTTATAGTTCTGAATTTAATATATTAAACCTCTTCCTTTTTTTATTTATGACAGTAGTAAATCTGTTTTTTTATCAAGTTTTTAATGATCGAGCATGTGCCTATTGAATTTTTTTAAAATCGGGGGATAATAGTTATTAACACCGATCCAAAGCTGAAACTTAAAAATAGTTTTACAAATTTAAATTAGTTTCACAAAAAACAATTAGGTCTGGTGAATTTTTCAAGTAGTAAGGTTCAACAAATAAATTTTTTTTTTCTAAGACCATTTGTAAAGGGTAAATTAAAACCAAGTTTTGTCTTGGACAAATATAACAATTTATGTATTGTTATATATAAGTTTTACGATTTGCTCATTGCGATTTTTAATAATAACTGTGTTATCATTAAAAATACTAAACCTCAAATCCACTCACTTCAGTCCTTGATTGTATTTGTGAATATAATAATTAAACTATTTTTAGTTGGCAATTTTTTAATACTAAGTTTTTATTATAACAACATAGAAATGAGATCAGGAAAAAGTTGTCAACCTCAGACAGGTAGGTAAGCATTGCTGAATACCGTCCTTAATTCTGAGGGCCACTAATAATATATAAAGTATTTTTATTATTATTTTTTTTACTATTATTATTATTTTTTTATTCATTTATTTTTTTTTGTAGCAAGAAGATGACAAATTAAAAGATTTTGTATGGCTTTTAGCAAGAGGATGGCAGTTTAAAATGGATGACAGTTTAAGATTTGTATAATTTTTAGCAAGAGGATGTCAATTTAAAATGGATGACAGTTTAAAACTAGTATGGTTTTTGGCAAGAAGATGATAAGATAAAATGAAAAATTTTAAATAATATTTTTTTATTTGAAGACTTTTCATTTATCAGCATACTGTTCTATTGAATTCTAAAATAATGTTCAATTTTGTTAAATTTTAATTTAAATGTATTTAAATGTATTTATGTAACTTTAAACTCTGTTGCCAGTTTATGTCACATTTTTTTGTAAATATTAAAGTAAAGTATTGAAGAATATGTTTTTGGGTAACATATCCAAGTTGCATTCCTTATAAAAAATTGAAAAATTTTCTTGGGCCCCAAGAAAAGAAAAAAAGTGCTCCAGGATGGGGTAAAGGCTTTTTTTCAGACAGTTCAAGAATCAAAAACTGTAACTGTTGAAAAAAAACTTTCAGTAAAGAGTAAATTATTTGTGATTATTTTTTATTTGTAAAATAAAAAGAAAGTAATATTCCTAAGATGTGTTTTTGTTCAAAAAAACACATAAATCACAATAAGTTTCATGAGCCCTTCATACCCTTCATGAGCCCTTCATACCCTTCATGATCCCTTCATACCCTTCATGAGCCCTTCATACCCTTCACGAGCCCTTCATACCCTTCATAAGCCAATTTCTGCAATACTACAATGATGAGATGCTCAATTAGGAAGATTTCATGTGATTTCTGATATTTTTTAATGGAAGGATCTCAATATGTCAGCTTACCTCTACTGCCAACTAGCCTTGGTCTCTTTGTTGATTTACTTGAATAAAGTAATATTAAGTTGATATCATTTAAGTATATAATACAAAAGTTCTTTTATGTGTGTACTTTTATTATTTTTTAAAACGTTTAAATCAAACAATTTTTCATTTATAATTTTTTTAAATTTAAACATTATTTTATTATTTTTATTTAATCTTTAATTTTTAATAGACACTCCTCAAATTTTAATAAAACATCTTAATAACTTTTTGCACCATGGTTTCTAAGGGTACCTGGCGATTTCTTAGATATGGAGTCCCCATGTTAGTAAGTAAATTCTTACTGTTTACTTTATTGATTTTACACATTTATATTTTGTAATTTATTTTTATTTCCTATTTGTGCTAAAATTGTACTTTTTTAAACCACAGCCACAGTGAAATTTACCTGGAGTATAGTGAATTAGTAACTCTGATATAATTACTTTATATTTTATGTGCAATCAATTACACAATCATAAGTATTATCATATCATTAAATACTTTCATTTTTGTGTTAAATACTTTCATTTTTGTGTTAAATACTTTCATTTTTGTGTTAAATACTTTCATTTTTGTGTTAAATACTTTCATTTTTGTGTTAAGTACTTTCATAAATTTTAGTTTGTGTTAAATACTTTCATTAATTTTAGTTTGTGTTAAATACTTTCATTAATTTTAGTTTGTGTTAAATACTTTCATTTTAGTTTGTGTTAAATACTTTCATTTTAGTTTGTGTTAAATACTTTCATTAATTTTAGCTTGTGTTAAATACTTTCATTACTTTTAGTTTGTGTTAAATACTTTCATTAATTTTAGTTTGTGTCAAAAACTTTCATTAATTTTAGTTTGTGTTAAATAGTATAAAAATAACTTTTGTTATGATATGAAATTTTTGACTGATTTTGATTATCACAACAAATAGTTACTATTTAGTTTAAATCTATCTAATTAGTCTGAATATAAAATAATTATAATTGTTTAATCACCAAATAAAATACAATGTATGTACATTTAAATAATTTAATGTTTGTACATTTATCAGTTAATGTTGGTAAATTTATCTGTTAATGTTGTCAGTAAATTTATCCGTTGTTGTTGGTAAATTTATCTGTTGGTGTTAGTAAAGCTTTATTCTGATTTTTTTTTGTGGATATATCGGGAATTCTATATATTTCTGTTAGTTTTTAATTTTTCCAGAAAACATTGAATAACTGAAACAGTTAAATATAAATAAATTAAAAAATTAAAGTTCTAAAGAAAAGTGCTAACACACTTGAAGTTATTTCTAAAGAAATATCTTCAAGTGTGTTAGCAGTGAACAAAGACATTTTTTTAATAAATTATAGAACAAGTAATTACAAACAATTTTCTTTATTTTTACAGACAACCTCAAAATGAAATTATGATTTCAATTTGTAGATCTTTTAAAGTTTGCATTCACTTCTATTGAGTACTTTGAAACTAATTTTAAGTTATTCTATTGTTTCTAATTTTAAAACCAATTTACAAGCAGTCACTACTGGCTACTATTGGTTAATAAATAAGCACTAATAACTTTTTTTTTCCCCACAAGGAATAATCAATCAAAGCATTTGGTACATTATTTTGAATAAAAATATAAATTAGTTTAGACAAAAGTGTCTTTTAAAGCTTTTTATTTTTTTATATACAGGGTTTCCGACCTCATTCTGACATTCTATCATTCAATTTTGATATTGTATCAGTATTCAACAATATTGCATTCATTTTGACACTGTTGCATTTGATTTTAACTGTTTTGCATTCAATTTTGACAGTGCTAATAATTTAATTAATTTAAAATAAAAAAGTTATATTCTTTCTAAATTTGTTAAGATAATATAGTTAGTTAGTATGCAAACTAAAGTTTAAACAAAATATTATATATAAAATGTAATTACAAATATTTGCTTATTAAAAATAAAAAAAAACAAATATAATTTTATTATTTCATGATTGATTCTCTCCTTGAACACAGAATCATATACCTAAGCACGTGCCTAAAATAATTATTATAATTTGTACTAGTAATATTTAATGCACCTTTTTGTATATTTTTAAGTAGTTCTTCAATTTTAGACAAACATCTTTTAATAAATTGTTTCTATTCAGAAAACATATTTTTAATAGGATTATGAAGGATATGCCCTGATTTTTGATATCTCGACTACTCGATATCTCGAACCTTTGTGTATCTTGAACTTTATTTCCTGTCCCTTGCGCACTCGTTTGAGCCGAAATCTTCTCAATATCTCGAACTCATTATCTCGAATTTTTTTCCCTGTCTCCTGAGAGTTCAAGATATTGAGAGTCAACTGTACTATTTTATCTTGAACAATTGCAGCCTTATGAAAACAAACATTATTTAAATTTAAAATAGCTCCAACAATTTTATTTACAGCTAGTTGTGCTAATACTAGACAAATAAAATATAATAAGCTTTATGTATTAAATGCTTTTATTTGCGCTTCATATTTCAAAATTCTATTTTTGTTCATTGCATAACAGATGGAAATTTGTGGTCCTATTTCCAGCTAAAGAATGTCCTCTTCCAATTCGCAAAGACTAAATTCGAAAGACTAAATTCTACTTCATCAATAAAGAATATTTATTTTCGTTCATTGAAGACAATGTTTTCATAAATTTTTTTGCATAAATAGCTTTTTCATTAATAGCGTTTTTAAATTTTCTTCCTTCTGGAATATCATTTTAAAGTATAATTAAAACTGTCAATGCATTTTGCTATAGTAGAATGACTAATTGAAATGGAATTTTGTTTAAAATGTCTTTGTTCAATTTTTTTAAGAGTTGTTCCGCAATCATCAATCCAATTTTATATGAGTATCTTGGATTCTTAAGTTAATTTTTTGTTTCTAAAACCACCTTTAACTGCCGTTTTATCGGCAAACCATTTTTTAATAATTGAATAGATTGTAGTTTGTTTAAATCCAAGAGTATTTGCAACTTCTGATGATGAATTTCCATTAAAGTAAGATTCAATTATTTTTGAAAGGTTTTCATGGTTGATTGTTTAATTTAGCATTGCTGTTTATAAATATTAAAAATGGTATATAAACTTTTACTATGACTCTGTACTAAAGAGGCAAATGTTTTGAATAATAAAAATATTTTTGTCTCCTTGAAAAAAATATTATGACATTAATTTAAAGCTTGATGACAATTTATTATTGTTAAGATATTAAAACCACCAGATGTATTGCTCGCATTATCGTATGTCTGCCCACAACAATTACCTATATCAATGTCATATTTTTCCAATAGATGTCAATGCCTAAAGATTTATCTTCTAATATTTCAAAAACAAAAAAATAATTCTCACACAAGGCTATTTACACAATGACAAAATATTACAGACAGTTGATCTATGTGAGAAATAATAGAAGTAAAATCTACAATAATTGCCCAGTATTTAACTTTCATTTCATTTATAATTTTCTTTGAATCTTTTTGAGACATAATATTAATTAGTTCTTTACACATGGTTTTAGACAATTAATATATATATATCAATTTCTTGCTTCAAACTATTTTCCATTACATATTGTTTCTATAAATTGATTAGTGATATGAAATTTTCACAAATACATTGTTGTGATTGATTGAAAAAACATTTGCAAACTTAGCAAAATACATATCTAATGAACTTAACCATTTTTTATCACACTTTTCACCATTCTTCAACTTTTTTTGAAAATATTTAGGTAAATCATATCTATTCAGGTTTTTGCATTCTTTTTTTAAAATTAGAGCTTTTTTACTAATTGTTTCGCAAAATAACTAAAAAAAAATTTATTTACTTAATTTATTTTTTCTTTCCATTCAAATCAAAAACACAAATATTTGAATGCATTGTTTTGGGTAGTGTTAAATTTGCTATTTGGTAAATTTAATTTAGGTTTTTTTTAAGTTAATCAAAAATTTTATTATAAAAGGTTTTTCAAAATAAAGTCTTAGAGTTTGAATTAGGACACCTAAACACTGCAGGCCCCAGGGCTATAGCCACCTCTAGCTCCCCCCCCCCAACCCACACCTTGATCTAGCACTGTTATACTATTGAGTCAGGGAATATGTGAATAATTTTCTTTTTTAACAAACATGTTTTTTAAGTGTTAATTGTGTTTTATAGAGTATTTATTTTTATTTGGAGTATTGATTGTTATCAGTTTATTTTAGCTTTTTGTGTTTGCTGGATCATATGGATTAAGTGAGTTTACTGACATTCGAGTAAAAAAAAAGGAGCAAAAAACACGTATGCTGAAAAATGAAGAATTGTTGCCTTATTTACAAAAGAAACAAGAAACTTTAGAATCCATGCATGAGGTATTTTTATATGTAATTAAAATGTTTGATGTGCAAAGATTTGACTTTAAAAATATGTGTAAAGTAAATGTTCTAAAATTTGTAAAAATTAAAAGAATGTGAAATAAACATGTGTTGTTTCTATTGTCTTGTTTCATATCAGTGGGCCAGAGTTTAGCAAAAAAGTCAAAACAAAAGGTTTTATATTGACTTTTTTAATCATTTGCAATTAACATGCATATGTAAATGGCAATGAATGTTTATTTTATAATGCACTTGATCAATTTTGTAAACCCTTTAGGGTGCTTCAAAGTCAAAAAGTTGTTAAAATATGTGTAAAAATGTGAAAAACATGTAAATACATCTGTAACATTTAGAAATAATCTATCCTTATGGAAAATATTTATATATATTTACCTATAATTTTATAATTATTTAAAAAAACAGAGATTTTTTATTTTTTAGTAGATTTTTTTACATTATTAGGACATAATTTATACAATTTTTCATGTAAAAAAACTTTGAGATAATAGATTTACAACATATTATACATTAAGATTAAATTAATTTAAATGCATACTTTATTACTTTAACTAACACTTTATATAAAGATTTTCTGCCTTCACTTTTCCTTCTCCTCCTCCTCCCCCCCCCCCTCCTTCTCCCTTCTAAGGTTAATTCAAAATTTGGTCTAACGTTGACCAAATTTTGAAAATTTAACAAAAAAATTACAAAATTATATATGTAATTTGCGTAAAATTTTTATTTGAGTCATTGTTTTTAGTAATTAAATAAATAATAAACACCTGCTACCAACGCGTTGATCAGTTAATTTTTATTAACCACAATTTGTTGCAGCGTTGACCACAAACCGTTACAGTGCGCTGTAACGGTTTGCAGTCAAAATAAATAACCTAAAAAATCCACTTTTAATGATTAAAATTGAAAAAATTAAATGACAGTTTCAACATGATAAAGCAGCAAGATTTATATTATAAACTTTTAAAGGCCAAGTGGGAAAAGAAGTAGTAGATAGTATAGTAGATATCGAAGCTGACATTACTTTGAAGGGTTTGAATATATCGAATGAGATTGAAACAAATTTTTATATATTTTTTGAACATCAAATAGAAATTAATATGTTGGATGGCAAAGTAGCAACAACCCTCAGTAATGTAACTAATTCAATTCTTTGTTGTTCTATTCTTGGGGCAACTCCAAATGAAATGATACTATTTATGAGAAAAGCAACGCGCTTAGTAAATCTAGCTTTTCCTGAGAATATCTACTCTTCATGCATGGATCAGATGTATAGAGTGTCTTCGCCACATCACATACAGAATAGGTTTTGAGAAATGGCAAATTAGCGGAGATGTAAATAAATTGAAGATAAAGGAGAAGAAAATATTGGTTCAGTGAGGATTAAAAGAGAAGACATCTAACGATGGTAATACGGCATGATGTTTTTTCAGAATATGTTTTTAAAATAAAATCTAAGCTTCCCTTAAAATTTTTATAATTTAAGCTAAACAATATATGAAATATTTATAAAATAAAATGTTTTATTATATCTATAAAATATTTATATATAAAAATGTTTTCAGGATTATTCTGATTCTGCTGAAGTAAAAGGTATCAACGAGTAACTAACCAAGCGTTTGTACATCATACTACGTACTGTCTTATGTGTGAAAGAGGTAATTCCTGAGGCTATAGTGATCAATTGCAAGGACACAGCCCATCATTTTATTCATTTATAATCCATTCATTTATAATTTTGTTCATTTAGAGTAGTCAAAACCTATTTTTGATGTCAGAAATGAACACTGTACAATGCTGAATTTAATGATAAAATATAGTTTGATCTGTAACTTTTTTTTTAATTGTGATTTATCTACAATTCATATTGGTAAAATCTGACTTGTCCTATTCAGATTGGTAAAATCTGACTTGTCCAAGTATTTAAATGACCAAACAGTTAATGTGTGAGTGAAACTTTAAGTCATTTTTAACCAGCACAAAACTTATAGTATTATCTTTATTTGTGCAATTAAAGTCATGTGTTTAAACTTACAATAATAAAGTCTTCCTAAGGTAACATATTGAGATTTTAATAACATAAAGCAGCATAATGTTGTACATTACCATAAACTACTAGAAATACGGATTTCATTAGCTTTTATTTTCTATGCAAAACATTAAAGTTTCCTATTTTGACTTTTTCCTATATTCGTTGATGTTTTTTATTCCATGAAGAAGATTTTCTAGTGATATTTTAGATTGTTTTCATCAGACTTGATGTTTGTTATCAAATTTGATGAGGAACTCAGTTTGTCACCAATTTTATTTGAATAACAGTATTGCAGAATGTGGAGTTATAGGATATTTTGTATCCTATGACATTGTGTTGCTAAAGACAACTATAGATATTCTCAACAAAATTCAATTACTGTTTTCTATAAAAACACCGACAACCTTCAAGACCTAAAGAAAAACATGTTTTGTTTAGCTCGTCTTAATACTTTTAGATTTGTGGTAAAAACCAATTGAAACAACAGTCATCCACTTTTGATTTGATTTTTTGATGATCTTTAATAAATCTTTAATAGCTTTTGTATGCTCTAGAGTATATATATATATATATATTTTTTCATTTTAGCAGAGCATGAATAGTTGAAGTAGTTAATACATCTTTTAGACTATTTTTTATGACAAAGCACCATTAACTATCAAACACCTTTTAAGTTTAAAGAATTATTAAGAGAAAGACTTATTATTTATCATTCAACCAAGTCAATAGCTTAACCCTTTCATGATGACTGACCATGAAAAAACTGGGTCATGAAAACCGTTTCTATATGACAATATTTCTATATATCAACATATATTCTAATTTTTAATTCGGTATAAGATATTTAGTAAACCGGAATCTTATTACCTGTAAAATTTTACTTCAAATGTATGTTATTTTCATTTCTAGATCGTTTGCAATTCAAAATAGAAGTTTGTGTAAAAGAAATAACTATACAGATATGAACGAGATTTTAGATATTTTACTTAATAATAGTGATGTACAAAGTGATGAAGATCCTAATTTTAATGAAATTAGTGACTATGAGAGCATTATAGAATATGAAGGAGAAAATTTTGTAGGTTTTGTTCCAGAGAATGTTTAAAATTTTTTAAAAATACAAGGAAAAAATTTACTAACATCTAATAAAGACATTATTGTCAGCACTAATATAGAAACTGGTAGCAGCAGTGTTATAAAAAATGATATTGAGCCTGAAATTGAAAATCAATTCTTTTCTCATTTGTCAACAGAAGTTTTGTAACCTCTGCAGAAATGTCTAAAAACTCGTGGTGGAAGTACACGTGGAGGTTGTTCTGTTTGATTTATTCCTGCCCAACCCATGATCCAAAACTGTAGAGGTACATCCACTTGTACATCTACTAATAGGAAGCAAATTCCTTTTTCTACTTGTGGTGATATGCTTGTTGGTGGCAACCATGTTAGCCCTCAAGGTGGTCAAGCGTGTCAACAAGTTAGTTTTGCTAACCGATCTGTTTTACAACTGGCCTGGGAATATGTTGAAGTTGATGACAAAGAGAATGAAGATAAAGCATTTAAGTTTATATCATCTTAAGGTTTAAATGCTAGAGTAAGATTAAAAAGAACTCTTGACTTTTTTGATATCTACCTCACAAATACAAATGTAAGTGAAACTAATTGTTATGCAAGAGATTTTTTGAGATACAATTTAGACAAAGCAACAAATTCTTATATAAAGAAATGGAATCCTATATCAGTTTTTGAGTTGAAAACCATTTTAAAACTAGTGATATTGTTAAGTATTGTTCACAAGCCTTATTTAAATATGTCGACAGATGATCTTTATTGGACACCAATGTTCTCCAAAACTATGAATTAAGACCAATTTAAAATTATTCTTAAGTTCCCACATTTTAACAACAACAATGACCATAACAATGATCCTAATAATCCTGATCGAGACTGACTGCATAAGTTGCACGAGTCCCTGGTGTTATTCAAAGGTGGACTCCATTTTCGCCAGTACATAAAAGCCAAAAGAGCACGGTTTGGTATCAAGTTATATGAATTAACAATATCAGATGGGATTACCCTAGATTTTTTATTATACTGTTGTCCTGGGTGTATGAAGATGATACTCTTGAGGGAATGCCATCTAGTTAACGCATACCAGTAGAATTGATGACTTCTTTTTTAAACAAGGAGCATATACTTTTCACAGATAACTATTACACAAGCCCCTACCTTGCTACTTACCTTTTGTCTAAAAAAACTTATCTTTGTAAAACTATTTGTGTTAACCATATGTTTTACTACAAGGATATTGTGAATGAGAAACTTGAAAAAGGAACCGCTCGTTTTATACAAAACCAAATACATGGAAAACAAAATGATAGCCTGCAAATATGTGCTGCTAAAGATAAATCTGGTAACAAACAAAAAGTTGTGTGTATGTTATCAACTTTCCACAATCCAGTGATGGTTAGTTCTATCCTTCGATTATAACAAAATCTCCAAATAAAAATAAAAGAAGTTGTCATGAAAGATGTTGTGCTTGTTATGCAAAAAAAGACTGATAAAGGATATTCCCTAAAAACTGATAATATTTGTTGATTTTGTCCATCGCAACCAGGACTACACCCTGATAATTGTTTTGAAATTTATTGCACAAGAAAAAACTATTATTTGCATTGAAAATCTTTCATTAATGTTTTTGTAAAGTGATGTTTGAAAAAATGATTTTGGGAAAATTAATTGTTTTATTATATCTTTAGAATATTTTGGTTCTCTTTATTATAACTTGAATATCTTTGCACTAAGTCATTAGATTAAACTAATTTTTGTTATATTTGGCAATTAAAAAAATGGCAGTTAACTGTACTTTTCTATTTGTAATCTAAAAATAAAGTCTAAATAAATGTTTTCTAAACTTTTGGCAATGTTACAGTTTTGGTCACATGAACTAGGG